CATGGGGAGGCTGGGGGTGGGCAGGCGGGGTGCCTGGAGGCTGCCAGCTGTCTCCACAAAGTGTGTACACAGTAGAGGCAGGCAGGGTCTTGGGCTGGCTGCTCGGGGGTAAGCAACTCCCCCAGGGCTAATGGGAGGGACCCCCTTCTCTGGCCCACAGCTGCTGAACAAGGGCACGGAACATTATTCCTACCCCTGCACGCCCACTACCATGCTGCCCCGCAGTGCCTACTGGCACCACATCACGGGCTCCCAGAACATTGCCGAGGCCTCCAGCTATGCCGGTGAGTCCCTGCAGTGCCCCACGGCCACCTGCCACGAGGCTCTGTGGAAGACAAGGCCTTCTGGGCAGGGGTCTTTCGACCTGGACCAGAGTCCTGAGCCTGCCTCTGTGTCCACAGGTGAGGGGTATGGGGCAGCCCAGGCCAGCTCAGAAACGGACCTCCTCAACAAATTCATCCTGCTAAAGCCAAAGTCCAGCCAGGGGGACAGCAGTGAGGCCAAGACCCCAGCCCAGTGACAGCAGGGCTGGCGTGCACCGATGACTACTGGGGCTGCCTGCTGTGGGGCTGCCTGCAGCGTACTGTAGATAGCCTCAAGGGGCTGTTGGCCAAGAGCCTGGAGAAAGGGAGCAAGCTGTCCCTTCCTTGCCCCCATGGGTGAGGCTGGACCAAGGCAAAGGGCTGGCCACACTACCTGAGCATGTGAGGGGCCGGAGCTACCATGGGACTATATACTGTTCATGATTTTAATATATATGGCTTATGACATATTCTATATTAATGAGATTTCCCCTCATCCCTCCCTGCCACCACATACACATTTTTCAATCCCATGACCAGGCCACAATCAAGGCGGGTTTTGAATGTCCTCCGTGGTACAGCCCTCCCACTGCCAGGACTCGCTCGAGCTGCCAGGGCCAGAGGGAGACAATCAGAACTCAAGGCTGGCGCGCTGACAGTGGGCTTTCCCCAGGCAGCCCAAGGGCTAAGACAGCAGGTGGCTTCTCAGTTCCTCTGGGCCTAGAGTGGCACAGGAAGGATCCGAACTTACACCGTGCCACTCGGTGACAACTGGTTGACACCTCAGGTGAAAAATCTGGTTTGAAAAAGAAAATTTCTGCCCAGGCTCCTTCTGCTTCGTAGGCTGAGAAGATAACCTGTGGGCAGGAGTGCTGGCAACCTCAGCCAGGGGAGGACGGCCAGTCCCAGCTCTCCCCTGCCCCAGGGTCAGGCCAGGAGGGAAGGCTGCAGGACTGCTGTGGGGAGCTCCCCTGCTGCCCCCTCTCACTGACCTGGGATGGCCAGTGCCCCTGCAGAGGGGCCCCTCTCTGTTTGGCCACCCTCTGGCCAGAAAGCACTCAGAAACCAGCCCTTCCATTTCCTCCTCCCCACATGGTGCTGAGGCTCCCCGCTGAAATGCAATTAAAGCAATTGATTTTCTAGTGCTGGTATTTATTGACTACTGGGCAGAAGGGCTATCTTTCTATCCACATCAAACCTTTGGTTGTGTGTATGGTTTTGTTTTTTAAAAAATACTTTAGGGTTCTGATTTGTGGGAACAGACCTTGTTACCTTGATGTAAATAACCACTATTCAAGTTATGGCAGGAGGGTGATAAAGCAGGAGGCCCCTCCAGCAGAGCCGTGGAGCCAGGGAGGTGGCCACAGCCAGCTCAGCTCTGAACCTGACCCAGGGGATGACCACCAGAGAAATAAGCTAGCCTGAGAAGAGAGCCTGGCCCAAGGCCTTGGAGACGGAGGCAGAGCTGGCTGGCTCAGCTAGTGGCACGATGACGCATGAAGGAGATTATGTTGTGCTCTTTATTGCCAAAAATAAAAACTCTGTTAATAAATATCCTTCCTTTCTGTACTGTATCTCCGGTTTTCTCCACAATCCTCCTGACAGGCTGCCTAATTAACTGCTTTGAGTATGTGCCTACCTACAGGACTTATGGGTCAAGGCCAGACCTTCATTAAGGCCCTGGCCCCGCCCCCCTCCCCACCACACCCCAAAATAAATAAGTGGATCAATGGCAGTGAAGTCATAACTGATGGGTAGAGAATGAATACAGGGTTTATTTGACAGCAGGGCAGTAGGGTGGGGGTAAGGGTTGGGGAGGGGCATGCAGCCAGGGTCTAACACTGTTCTCAAAGGGTTTGAGAATTTGAGTGAAATGTGCAGGGACTGGGTTTATAGACAGCCTGAATGAGAATTCTAGCACTCAATCCTAACACCAGCAACCTAAGGTACAACTGTAAAAATTCCAACTTTTGGACAGAAAGTTTAAAGCTGAAATGACCAAAATGGGGAAGCAGTGTGACCCCCTACAGGCAAACGGAAACCGGCAAAGGGAGGTCTAGGTTCTGGGGAGACAACCGGCAATCATCAGGCAGAGGGGTGAGTGATGTGGAATGTCCAGTAAAGGTCTGTCCTGCCTCAAATACCAGTGGCACCCCTGGTAATCTACCTGTGAGCAAGCAAGGCTGGGGTGCCTACCCTTCCCCTCTGCTACCTGTCCAGTTGGTACTGATGGCTTGCCAAGTTTAGGTAACAGCTGCCCAGACTCCAGAAGCTAGAAAAGCCTCAGGAGAGACCTGAACACAGCTGCTGCTCGGATCCATATCCGCTGAAGCGGATGAGCTGCGGCTAATTTATGGTGAGGACATCACTCTGGATCTCATGGCTTAACTGGGTCTGTAAATCACTCAGCTTCTTCTTCAATCCAGAGAGGGCTGAGAGGACAATGGTTTCAGGGCGCAGAGAGCCACAGGACTCCACGTTGTAGTAAAACCTGAGAGGCGAAAGTCCAGTGAGAGCCCTCCCCAAGGGGCTGGCTATCCTGAGCTTCGGCCAGGGCCACTCTCCCTCCCTTCTGAGTCTTGCTTGAATCCCACCAGGAACTCAACTTGCCCCAGGGTTGACCTCCATTCTCTTATAAACAGTGGTCTTTACAAGGCCTCAAAGACGCTACAGCCATCTCAAAAAGATATTGTGGCCTGGCTGGCATGGCTCAGCTCAGTGTTTTGAGTGTTGGCCTATGAACCGGAGTTCATGGTTCGATTCCCGGTCAGGGCACATATCTGGGTTTCGGGCTTGATCCCCAGTCCAGGGCATGAAGGAGGCAGGTGATCAATGACTCTCATCATTGATGTCTCTCTCTCTCTGAAATCAGTTAAAAAAAAAGGTATTGTGAAACCCCCAAAACACTTCTGTACAGACGTATCCCACACTGAGGAAAACATGGAAAATAAATAAGTGGGGTCACACAGGCCAGCATCTCCACATTCATCACTAGAAGACTGGTAAGTTTCCAGCCCTGGGTTGACCTCTTTTTTGGAGGCTGAAACCAGAATGGAACAGCTTGGATACTGGAGGTCTCTTTTTCAGTGACGAAAGGGGGATGTGTCTGTCAGGGGTTCAGTCGTCACCAGCCGCTCCTCAGCTTGACAGCTGGGACATGAGGGAAGGGGTCACCCTAACTCAGAGCCCGCACCAAAACTATGTTCCTATACACTTCACCCTCGGTGCTGGCCCGGCTTACCTCTCGGGCTTGCCGTTAGGGTCGTAGGGAGCCTGTGACTCATCTTCGTCCAGCTCTGAGTACTCACTCTTTGGCCTGGAGTAAAACACAGGGCAGTGCACGGTTGCTACTGCTGCTTCCAGGCACCTGCGCCCACAGTGAGCTTGCCCATCTCAGTCACTAGGAGCCACGTCCACCCCACCCACTCTGCCTGCCTTCATTCCCAGCTGGAACCTACCATTCCTCTGGCTTGGGGTACACTGTGTGCCTCAGGGCATTGTCGGGATCATATTCAAAAGCCACCCCTGCAGTCGGGTTCCACTTAGCATGCTCCTTGCCAAAGCCCTTTTTGGCATAGGCACGAAGTCTCAGCTCCTGGCCCTTTCGCAGCTTGACGATGAGGATGTCTGTGGGGAGAGGTGGGGAGATGAGGGGCCAGGAGAGGCCCAGTCCTGCCACATTCTGACCTAGATCGCCACTGGGAGACCATACACATCTGGAGAAACAGAATAAGGGCCAGCTGAGGAGACCAGTCAGCAGGAGAGGCTGTGTCTGGTCTGCCTCCCTGCTGTTCTGCAAAGTAACAGGTAGGGTAGACATCACACTCACACCAGCCCCTTACCGTCCTGCTCCACATAGTCATTGGGGTCATTATCTCGGTTCCGGGATGTCACCTGCAGGGAGCCCAAACAGACAATAGCTGCCCATCTCCCAGTCACTTCTGACAAGTACTTCCCAGCACTTCCCAATCGCAACATGCCAAACAAGGGACAGGATGCCTGGGAATGAGGGGGAAGAAGTGCCTACTAGGACCCAATCTTTGCTGGTGACTGTATCCCACCCCCTACTTACTGGGACACATACTTCTCAGCTTCATGACAACTCCCTCAGTCAAAACAGTACCATGGCCTTTTAAAAGGGTCCCAGGGTGACAGAGGGCACACAGCACCAACAATGCTCCGCCCACCCCAGCAGGAGTCCACAATCAGCACTTCTGGGCACCAAGGGTAACACAGGGCAAGTCAGTGTCTTATAAGAATCTGCCCCAGTCTGGCCCACATGGAGGCAGGAGAAGAGCAAAGGTCCTGGGCAGGAACCTGTCCTTAGACACTAACTGGAATGACCCGGGGGCTGTTGGAGATGAGGTCCCGAGATGTGACATGACGAGTCTGGTCTTCATTGCATCGCACATCAAGAGTGAACTCCACCGAACACTCGGGGCAGAACTCTTCACACGTGCAGTCCTGGGGCAGGAAGAAAAGCAGGCGTGAGTCTACGGAGAGATGGCGGATCCTGAGCTTCCTGCTTCGGATCCCCAGTTCCTCATGTCTCTTCATCTGGAAAAGGGCTGACCAGTCTCCAGGCCCTTGGGAGCTGTGTCAATCTGTAACCTTCTCAAATGCAGGTACTTCTCAGTTTAGGGACAATCCATATGTGCTGACAACCACACTTCCTTCCACGCCCACCAGCTGCTGGGCTGCCACTGGGACACATGCTTCTCACATCTCAGCCTGGCCCTGGGAGTGCCCTTCCCCAGAGAACCGCAGAGATCCTCTAGTTCAGCCTCCCGTAAGTGGACTAGCTCAGGAATGGAATCATCATTTAAAATAAAGGGAACTATAGAAAAAAATACCTTTCAAGTTCTAGACTACTGGCCTTTTCCTAAAAAAACAAAAACCTTTCTGTTATGGAAAATGTCATACCCTCATAAAAACCAACAAGAGTATAATAGGCTGTAACCATCCCTCAACTTCAATAATTATCAAGTTTTCTGTTCCTAAAGCACCCCATTCCCTGTTGGGTACCATCTGCTAAATAGCAAAAGGCACTCGAGCTCAACAACAACAAAAGGTATGAGAGGAGTCTGGTAGAGATATAAAGAGACTAAAGAGACAGAACAACCAAACACAATATCTTGATGAATCACAGACCCACAAACAAAAAACAATGAAGGTCATTTTGGAGGAAACCAGGAAAACCTGATTATGGACTGGACATAGTTATTACAAATTAGTGATGACGTTCTTAGGCATGCTAATAATGTGGCTGGGCAGGAAAATATCCTTATTCTCAGGACGTGCATGCTGAAGTAGGTAGGGGAGAAGTGTCATGGTACATGCAAATTTCTTTCAAATAGTTCAGCAAAAACATATATATATATGTATATATACACACACACACACGCATATATAAAACCACACATATACACACACATATATATACACACACACACAAGCACATATATATATAACTAAAGCAAATGTAACAAGATGTTAACAACTAGTAACTAAAGGTCAAAAGTAAGTGGGAATTTATTTTTCTGATCTTCAGCTTTTCTGTATATTTTGACTATACCATCTTTCAGTAAGTGTAATACTAGAAATAAATTTAATGGAAGAAATTACTAGGCCAAAGGGCATGCATATCTTTATGCGGGATATTGCCAAACACCTCTTCAACTGGCTGTACACCTATCCCCACCAATATCTGTGGGAGATGTGATGCAAATATGGCCAAATGTTCAAATGTGACAAGTTGCTTGGTGCAAGCATGAGTATCTGTTATATTAGCTCCACACTTCGCTTGAATATTTCTTTAAAATATATATATTTACATTTATAGGTCAAATCAAATTAACCACCACAAAAATGACATGCCCTAGGGAATTAGAAGATGGGCTGATTCAGGATCACCCAAAGCCATCAAGAGGGAAGAGTCTCAAGCTATTATCTAATATAGTCCCGGTGAAGGGATGCAGGTAACCTAGTCCTGTCCCATTCTCTCCCTAGACCAAGGCCTGCTAACCTGCCATTAGAGAGCAAACACAGCCCTGGAGGAAGGGGACCATATTTAATAGCATCATCCATGGGGTGAGTCACAAATCTGGCAGTCCCTCAGGTGATGCTCTGTAGGGTAGTTTTCACTTCCTCTCCTGTGCCCCTCCCCACCCCCCGCCAACATTTTGTTGACTCCTTTTAGCCTCCTAGGCCCCTGTCACTGGGAAGAGATGCTCTGGAAAGCAGAATCTGAACAGATAAGACTCTGAAATAAACCAGCCCCTATTTGGTATACATGGCATTTTGGTGTATACCCCCTCTTGTGTGACTGATGCCCTTTGAGACTGACTAATCAATCTGAGGCCCATTAGAACCAAAGGCCAATGCCTGCCTTGGGCTCTAGACAACAGCATCTCCATATCGTTTTTCTAAAGGCTAGAAGCAAGATGCCAGAAAAATCCTTCTGAAAACTGAAGGCCCCCTCCTCTCCAGCCCAACATTCCACCTAATCACCCAACATACCCGGGAGTACTGCAGCTTGTCCACAATGTCATCACTAGTGAGGGGAATTAATCCTGGAAGACAAAGAAAAGCACTTTGAAGAGGGCCGAGCAGCCAAGCCAAAAGCAGAACCTAGAAAGCCCCTTGGGAGTGAGGAGGCCTCCTCTCTGACACCAGGCACAGCCCCCTCCTTTTCACCTTCCCAAACCCAGCACTCACCAAGCCTATGAGCGATGAACTCATCATGAAGGACTGAGGAATTGGCATCAATCTGAACCCAGTCAATGGCTAAAAAGTGAAGGAAGCAGACACACAGCTTAGCCACCAAATTCACCTAAAGGCTTAGAGCTGTGGTTCTCAAGATTCAGGAACCACCTGATGCTTATAAACTGCAGAGGCCTGGGCCAGGTTGCCAGACTCTGATTCACACAGCTCTAGAATAGGGTCCAGAAATCTTCATTTTAACAAGAACCGCACACACCACATACCCCTTCTGTACTCAAGAGGGTTTAATGCTGGGGTTCCCTGAACCACAGAGAAAAACAACTTAGAGAACAGTATAGGAGCAGAAACATGTTTCTTAGAGCTGAATATTTCCATGAGAAGCACTTACATGTGCTATTCATGCCAACACCAAATCCAAGAACACAAACTATTTGGGTCCTTAAGTCAGGGAAAATCTCACAGAGGTAACGCAAACTTCTAATCTATATCTCATTTTATGGCATAATGACCAGATTACCCTTTATTTAACACTTTAGTATCACTCAATCAACCAATGTTTACAGAATTCTTTACTGGGCAAGGCATACTAAGTATAAAACCCAGTCCCTACCAGCAATGAGCTAACAAATAGTAGGGGAAAGGCTGTATGCTCACACACTTAAGCACACATTCATTCATTCATTCATTCATTCATTCATTCACATCGGCGTGCAAACAAATCATAAAGCAAATGGCATGGGCGCTCACCTGCCAAATTAGGGGTGTGAACATTAGAAATGGAGGTCACAGGAGGGTGGGGGTGAGTCGAAGGGGGGACTCGTGGACCTGGCAACGAGGAGGCGGGGGTGGCTTACCTATTATGGGCACCTCTGCGATGAAAACCCTCCGAATAGAATTGGCCACCCTGAGAGATAAAAACCAAGCGGCGTGAGGGCAACGCAGCGTCGACATGCCGATCCCGCGCCCCCCGGTTCCCAAGGTGAAAACCGCAGCACAGGGGGCCAGCAGACACGGCCCCGGCCCCACCCCCGGGCTGGGGCCCCCGGCGCTCGAGCAGCCAGCCGCTGCCCTGAACAGGCTTACGCTAGGTCCGTGTTCTCGATGATGAACTTGACATTCTCGTCGGTGAGCTCTGTGATCCGCACGGTGGGCTGGTTGGCGTACGGCATCGCGCCCGGCCTCCTGCGTCAGCCCCGCAGCGGGCCGCCGCACCGGGAGTTACCGGAAGCCGGTCAGTGCAGCTTCCGCCGCTTCCTCGGAGAGGGGCCCAGAGCGCCACCTGCTGCTCGGAGGCCGGCACTGCTCCGGGCCCGCCGTTTTCTACCCACCATCTGGTTTAAAGGCACCAGGTTTGACCACCTTGGATGGCAACTTAGCAAGACATGCATACACCCGACTCAACAGTAACACTTCCAGGAATTCATACTGCAGAAATACTTAAAGTTGTAAGCAAAGATACACTTACAGGGACAATCACTGCAGCACACTTTGTAACATCAAAAATTAGTGTCCATTGAAATGGACACTTCAAAATGTTGAAGTTCTAACTCCTGCTGTGAGGGTATTTGGAGATGGGGGTCTTTGGGAGGTCATGAGGGTAAGACCCTCATATTAGTGCCCTTACAAGAACATCAGTGCTTTCTCTGGTGTGTGAGAACATAGAGAAGGCAGCTACCTGCAGGTCAGGAAGAAAGCCTTTACCAGGAATCAAATTGGTGGACACCTTGATTTTGGACTTCCCAGACTCTAGAACTGTGAGAAATAAATGTCTGATGTTTAAGCACCCAGTCTGTGGTACTCTGTTATAGCATCCTGAGCAGACCAATACAAGAGTTAACCAGACTTGCAAAGGGAGCCCAGCCAGTGTAAAGGCCAAGGAAATTATTAAAGCTAAAGAATGTATCATTGAAATGGTTAGCGACACCACCAAAGGAGCTAATGATGAGGGGGAAGTCCTGTCACTCACATTTTACTGATGGGAAGCCTGGGCCCAGAAATGCAGAGCTGTCATACTGCCCAGTAGTATTAGGCAGCACCAGGACCAGAACTCAGGTCTCTTGGCTGCTAGCCTCAAGCCTTTTCCACAACATTGCTGTCTTTCTCTGGGTCTTGGATACCTGCCATGAAAACTACACAACAGGAAACTGATTCAAACATATTTATTATTATTTTTACAGACTCTAAGTTCACTAATAATCCTGCCACGCACACTGGTGTAATGAGACACCAGGCCTGGGATCACACCTCTGGCCAGGCTGTGTGAACCACTGTCCAGCAGGCACCTGTCTCAGGTGGGCAGCTTTCTGAGGGAGGGTGGGAGTGTCCCAGGTACAGTATCTCAGGATGCTGAAAAGGAAAAGGGCTGCAAGGAACACCTCTGGGTGCACGTGCCTATGCTGTGCTGTGGATCAGCTGCCACTCAGGGTGGCTTCAGAACCTGACTTGGGAGTCCCAGAGAGCATTTCTAGGGAGGTTAAGATATGATCAAGGTGCCAGTGAGACCATGATAGGCACGTGCTGGGTTTCTGTGGCTTGAACGCTTGGGTGAGAGCCTCATTTTTCAATCACACAGCTGCAATGCAGAAAGGCATCAGGAGGCTGGGCTTGGTACTAGCAACTGAAGAAGTCGCCCAATCCTGGGTTACAACTCTATCACCAAGTGCCCTGTGGTTTCCAGGTGGCTATGGTGGTGACTCAGGAGTCCTTCAGTGTTTTCCCATTAACGCCCTGTCCTGTGGATGGCACGTCATACTTTTCAACGCCCTTTAACTATATCCGCAGGTTTTCTTCTGGGCACTCTTATAACCGTTCTTGCTCACCGGCGCTGGTTTAGACCTGTCAGATTCTTGAGCTGATAAAGGAATAGAAACAGAGAGAATGCTGAGGGCTTGCCCTACCCCAGGACTCCAACAGGAAAGATCAGAATTTCAAGGAAGCACAGGTGGCTATGATACAGAGATCTGACATTCAGGGGTCCCGAAAGTCAGCCAGTAAAAAATAAAGAGGTGGGATATTTGGAATCAAGAGGCTCAGACTGAACCACTGTCAGTCTCATTACCAGCTTTCCAGTTTAAGGCTACAAAACTACTTGGGGTCAGTGATACATTAAGAAAGAAGCACAGGGCCAGAGTGGGATGGGGCATGGCAGGGATGAGCTGGGAAGTACTCACCGTCACTGCGGCACCCATGAGTCCTTGCACCAGTGCCTCTCCAGTGGACTTCACCTAGAAGAAGTCAGAGTTGGGTTCTCTTAAGCCCCCACCACAACCTCAAAGATGAGACAGGTAGGACAAACCAGCAGGTCTATTAGTTCCAATAGGTAGAGTCAAGAGGACCTGTATACAGGAGGAAGAGCCTATACAAAACCACAAATGGGCCAAGTGTGGCTCTTTGGGAAGGCCCTCAGGACTGTTAGCTGAGGCCAAAAGAGAGCAAGAGAACAGACAGTGCCCAGCAGTGACTGAAGAGAATGGTACACCTAGTGAGGAGGCTTCCCAAGTGGCTAGCCCCCCACTACCTGTTTGGCAGTGTGGCCCATGTTCATAGCATCATTAATCCGGTTTTCCAAGAAGCGCCAAGTATCCTCAAAATCTGGGGAGGAGTCCTGCATCATCACCAGCTCTGTCGTGTTATAGATGGCAGCCAGCACAGCTCGGCGGGTATACCAGTTGAACTGCAAAGAAACCCATCCAGGCAAGTGGGTCACCACTACTGCTGTGGGCTGGGAGCAATTGGGGGTGGTTTCTACCCAAAGCCACAGACACTCAAGGGCTTCCTCCTGAATTCTTTCCCTCCCAGATACATATGGCCCTCTGGACAGCACTACAGCTCCCAAATGTGGCTGCGCATCGGAATGGCCTGGGAGATTGAAAATGCAAGCTCCAGCCCTGGCTGGATGGCTCAGTTGGAGTGTCATTCTGTGAAGCAAAAGGCGGCAGGTTCCATTACCAGTCAGGGCACATACCTAGGTTGAGGGTTCGAGCCTTAGTCGGGGAGCATACAGGAAGCAACCAATCAATGTGTCTCTCTCACACTGATGTTTCTCCCTCTTTCTCTCTCTCTCTGTAAAATCAATAAACATGTATCTTCAAATAAAGATTTTAAAAAAAAGAATGTTGAAAAAAAAATGCCAGTTCCTGGGCCCCAACCTCTTAAGAGTTTCGAGTCAGTGGGTCTGAAATAAGTGCCAGGAGTCTTGATGTTTACTAAGCAGCCCAGGTGATTTTGTTACATCTGGTCTTTTTGGAACTGCTGGTGAAAAGACTAAATCTTGGGACATCTAAGTCCCGGGGAGGCTCTGTGGTCAGCCAGTTATGACCAAACTTTGGTGTGTTCACTAGGAAAGCCACGGCTGAGACAGAATCATGGAAAGATTAGAACACCTAGGAAAAGCTGAGAGGTCAAGTCCTTTAGCAACTCCGACTGTCCTGGAAAACTACTCTTCAGAGCACTAGCTCAGCGGCTTCATGTTTTATTCCTTTAATTTCTTTGCTTTCTAATTTCATTTTGCTACCATCCCTGCTGCTGGTATATTCCCACAGGGGGCAAGTTTATTAAAGCACTATGTTACAACTGTGGTGGGAGTGTATCTTTGCCTCCCCAGCCTGGATATTAATTTCTTTTTATGAAGATATACTTTTAAAAAATTTCCCTAACAGGAATGTAACAGCATTAACAAGTCACATTCTTTCCTGGTGCCTGTTTAAAGGCTTATTGATCTCTTAGCAAAGCAGGCCAAGGTGGGTGGGAGTTTCTTTTTAAAGCAACGGTGTCTCCATGGCAGTAAAAAAAAAAAAAAAAAAAAATCAATCTCATAAAGTCACACAATGAGAAATTCTGCTACAGAATCTAAATTTTAGGAGACTGGTTGGGAGGGGATGGATTATAAAATGGCAGCCCAATCACAAGGCCCTCTGATGTCTTGCATCACCACTATAGGTCAAAGGAATGACCAGTGGTTTGTGGCTAGAGCACTGGTTCCTGAATGAAGACAACCTAGATCCCACTGTGGCTTGTTGAGGGCCCTTCCTCATACATCAGCCTCTCCTTACCAGGATGGGAATGATGTTGCAGGCCCCTAAAGGGATTTATGATCAAAGAAATTTCACAAACTTCTTGAAGAAATGCTTAACCCAATTTTTTCCATTATCCTGTGGGCCTGCAAAAAGCACTCACGTCAGTGGACTGGTCCCCAGCATAATGCCACATGTCATCCACCATGCTGGTGAGTAGGCTCAGGCTGGATGGGATGTTGTGAGGGAGCATGAGGATGCTGAGGGCCTGTGGAAAGAATGACAGAGGAATAGGTACAGCATATAGGTGACAACAGCACGTAAATGGCTGGCGCCTCACCTCTCCACTATGGTATGTAAGGGGGCCTGCCCTGCTCTCATTCTGAGACCCACCTCTCCAAGCCCTCCTGGCGGCTAACCACCCTGACCACAGCTGATGGGAGCCAGGGGCCAATCCTACCCTCCTGGGCCAATCCTACCCTCCTAGCCCAATCAGATTCTCAATCCCCAGCATGTGGATTTGGGAATGCAGACAGCAGAGGGTCTAGCCTGGTCTCTCTGAGTACTGAGAGCAAGGATAGGGGAGGTCACATGGAGGAAGAAGCAGAGGTAGAAGGGGAATCTGTGGGTGGTTTCTACGTCCAAATTCTAGGCCACTCCCAGGCCCTAGTAACATTCCTGCCCTTGATGTCCCACTGCAGCCTCAATA